TCAAAGTTGGGATGTTAACAAATAAATCAGACAATGCAAAAGCAATTATTGATATTCCCAAGTTACGGTCTTGACTGGTCTTGAAATAAAATCCCGAGTCCTCAATGTTCGAGACCGAGACAAGACCGAGTACAAATGCGGTCGAGTCCAAGACGAGACCAAGACCATCAAGACCAGTCTCGAGTAATACAACACTAGTATCAATATCAAAAATGTAAAAACTAAAAAAAGGAAACAAAAAATAAGTTTTTTTTGCCCTTGGGCCCCAAGTGCACAAATACCCATTGGACAATCCGGCCCAGGTCCCAATGTCTGCTTTCAAGAGAAAGTTAATTAAAATTATGCACACAGAATACAGAGTTTGATTATCAGTTGCAGTAATGGTTAAATTCCAACATTTTGAGTGCAATGTTTGATCATTTTAAATGTGATCCAACCAACCACCGATGTTTATAGTGTGTCATTGATTTTTGGTAATTACATTATCCCTCATTTATTTAGCAACATGCAACATGGAAAAACAACATGAACTTTCTTTATTAAAATGTGGCCAGCAGAGAGGGGTCAGGAAATGAGGGGATAAAGAGCGGAGAAATGACATTAAACAAAGGACGGGAAATAAACATGCAAATACAGTTTATGGTCCGAGCATGTCTTAATGACCCCAAATGAAAGGTTTTTAAACTGTAATTGACAAGCTGCAATATTTGGCAAAAATGAAAGGTGTCACACCGGCCCAAACTATGTCAGTCTCTTTACTTTAAAGACACAGTGGCAGTGATTTCACTTCCCTACTGTGTGGGATGAAATTGTCATTTTCTCTTTAAAATGTGCATGTACTTCGGTCTGTGACAATTTGTCTTTTTATTTATATAATTTATTATTTTCATGATTTAACCAGCTGCTTCTTCTTTTATTTAAAAAGCTGGAACTTTGTTTGGATTTAACAAAATAAATAAAACAGCCTAGCTATACTGAAATGTATTTTTTATATGTAATTTATCCATTGAATAAATACAATGTTTGTGTGGGTTTGTAAATATGTGCTGTTGTATACTTAACAGTAGGAAAAGAAGTGGGCAGCATCAAGTCTGCACAGCCTCCACCTCACTGCACCACAGCATGAATAGGCCTGCATTACCTGCATCCTGCTGACTTGTTTACTGTAAAAGTTTCATTTCACTGTTGCAAATACTACACTCTACTACTAGGCTACTTCTACTACTACCACTGCTGCTCCTGCTGCTTCCTCTATTACGACTACTACAAACCACACATTGGTTGGACAGCATGCTATTGCTGTCCATAAATCAGTGGCTTCGGATGGGCAGGTTGTCCTCCAGAGTCACGTGGCCACGCTGAGCATCCTTCGCAGATCCAGCAGGCTGCGTGGCGTGTCTTCACTTGATTACGGTATGGACCAGTACTGCTGCTGCAGCCGTGTTTAGTCGCAGCAACTCTTGCTTCTAGTTTTTTCTGCCGCTGGACTGCTCTCCGAAATCTCAGGTAAAGCGACGACTACGGCGGTCACAAATGCAAATGTTACAGCTTTTGACTTTTGAGTGGGCAACTACGCACTGGCATCAAAATGATGCTGAGTCGCTGTCTTGTTACTTGCTATGCAACAAAGACATGCACGAGCGCCTGAGCAAAGGAAATGACTGGGTATCGTAATGGGATTTAGATTTTTGCTCAGACAGAGATGCAACATTTTAAACCAACGCGAAAGAGTCAGCCCCTGCAGGTATAGTGTTGCGTTTGGGTGCAGGGCTGCACGGTGAGGCAGAGACGTCTTCGTTGTGGGCAGGTAGAGCAGCACCGCTCCGGAGGCGGTGGCTTACTGATTGCAGTGTGTTGATAGTCGTTGTTGTGCTGCAGTGTTTCGCCTGTACAATAGAAAGTGCACTGCCTTCTTTCAAAGAAAAGATCAGAAGCTCCATAGGGCATCTGTGAGCCGTGTGAAATAGTCTGAGATTCAAGTTCAAACAGAAGCTGGAGGTGGATAAGGTCACATAGTAATGACTCAGCAAACCAGGGTAAACCAGGGGTGGTTTGCAGGATTTCCAAAAATTGAAGTGTTAAAGCAGCTGCCTTGATGGTTCTTGTTACCGGACACCTTTCAGCTTCAATGTTTTATAAATAAGGAGTTTCAGAATTGAGTGCAAGTATTGATTATTGTACAACTTATGTCTGAAAAGAAGAAGCAGAGTGGGATTTCAAACGCTGTGTAAACTACAGCCTGTCCTCCAGCAGGGTTATTATATAAACTGAAGGGGTCAACTAAGACGCCAAAATTTAGGCTATTGTACTCCCATCTCTGTTTTGCATTTTACATGCAATAATAACATAACACAAACTCTTGCACAATAGATAAACCTTGATGATTACCTTTAAGTGAATAAAGGGTCCTCGCCCCAATTACATAATACATAACAAACATTATCCTCTAATGGGAATAATGCAGATACAGTATAGCTTTTAATTGTTCAGGTTGCTCAGTCTCTGAGATTTCTGCCTCCACCCCAATACAATTAAAGTCTACAGGCCTGCTAGTGGCTCTGCTTTGAGCTAAATGCTAATTTCAACATGCACACAAAGACATTGCTAACATAGGCTACTGCTACTTAAACTGGAATAAATTCACTACACATTGCTCATTGACAAAGTAAACTAGAAACTAAGCAGAAAGAGGAGTTAGCCTACATACTTGCTCAGCACATCTTATCATTAACTAACTAGCTGTAGTATTTGGTCATAAACCAAAGCAGTGGACATTTTTGACCTGGTGATGGTGCCAATTTAAAATTGAAGGGATCACTAAAGTTAATACAATTCATCCTGAGATCAAATAATTATTAAGACATTTTACTCAAAGCAAAGTTCAGACCAAAGTGTGTGTCTAAAAATTCAAGAGGTTGAGAAAGTGTCCCCATTTACTCTACATAATCTGAATAATATGTTTTTGTAAAAAGTAGTTCTAATGTGAACTTTGTACAGGGACATCTGTGGATCATTCAGAGTAACTAGGACATATTTTCTTACATGTTGCTGTTGATTTTTATAAATGTTATTTTGAATAATAATACAGTCACCTTGGTTGAAGTGGTGTGACATACACTCACCGGCCACTTTATTAGGTTCATCTGTTCAATTGCTTGTTAACACAAATAGCTTATCAGCTAATCTCATGGCAGCAACTCAATGCTCAATTTAAGCATGTGACAACTTGCTGAAGTTCAAACCGTGCATCAGAATGGGGAAGAAGGTAGGGGCGGGAATCACCAGAGGCCCCACGATACGATATTATCACGATATTTATGTTGCGATTCGATTTTATTGCAATTTTAAATATATTGAGATATATTGCAATTTATTACCTTTTTCCAACTTCCATATAGGCCCCTAAAGTCAAACTTTGTCAACATCTGTTTATCTAAAAAGATACATAAGTTTTCTAGTGGATTAAAAAAGCAATAGATTTTATTATTCTAGCACCAAAAAGTTAAAACTCCCATCTGCAATTATATAATAAAATATCGATACTTGGCGTCCGTTTATCGATACAGTATGGCAAATATCATGATACTATGCTGTTACGCCACGGTTGCCAGAGCTCGCGGCCATTATAGTCAATGCTTTTGAGTAGGGCTGCAGCTAACGATGATTTTAGTATTCGAAGCTTTGATAGATTATTTCAACGATTCATCGATGTGTCGTTTAAGAAGTAGGCTACTTTTGCTTGGCGGCGCCACCCCGTCCCCCCCGTAACGACACGCAGTTAACTCATGACTGTGAGGTTACAACTCACGGCCCAAAAAGGAGAACAACAAACGCACGTGTGCACATTTTCAGCTGAGGACTGCGGCCTACTTTGGCTAGCCTTCAACTCAACAATCAATCATGATTTCAGTTAATTGCTAAAGTTGCTGTTACTGTTACCTTGTCTGTGGTCCGCTGGCAGAACACCTTTTTGTTCAGCTGCCGTCGTGCTGTTGCCAAGGCGACATAAGTTTCGTTTTACGGTGGACGGACGGTAACATTACAGAGTTGTTGTTTTCTTTAGCATGAAATAATAACATACTTTGGACACTTTCTTCTTTGTCCTTCGCCATTTTCTCTCTCTTCCTCCACTTTCCAAACGGCTACATTATAATCCTGACATGTTCACAGCGTAAGCGCGATGACACTGCTGTATAGTTACACGGATTAAACGAAACATCGATGCAAAGAATTTGTGTCAAAGCATTTTATTAATCGATTTTATCGATAAATCGTTTCAGCCCTACTTTTGAGTCCACCAGACAGAAACAGTAGATCAGCAGCTGATCTACTGTTTCTCGCACATCCATCTCTAGGGTTTACAGAGAATGGTCCAAAAAACAGAAAATACCCAGTGAGCGGCAGTTGTGTGGATGCCTTGTTGATGTCAGAGGAGATCGGGCAGACTGGTTCAAGGCAACAGTAACTCAAATAACCACTCGTTACAACCAAGGTAGGCAGAACACCATCTCTGAACGCGCAACATGTCGAACCATGAAGCAGATGGGCTACAGCAGCAGAAATCCACACCGAGCGCCACTCCTGTCAGCTAAGAACAGGAAACTGAGGCTACAATTCACAGGCTCACCAAAAACAGAAGATTGGAAAAACATTGCCTGGTCGGATGAGTCTCGATTTTAGATGCAACATCCAGATGGTAGGTTCAGGATTTGGCGTAAACAACATGAAAGCATAGATCCATCCTGCCTTGAATCAGCGGTTCAGGCTGGTGGTGGTGGTTTAACGGTGTGGGGGATATTTTCTTGGCACACTTTGAGCTCTTAGTACCAACTGAGCATCGTTTAAACACAACAGCCTACCTGAGTATAGTTGCTGACCATGTCCATCCCTTTATGACCACAGTGTACCATTTCTGATGGCTTCTTCCAGCAGGATAATGCGCCATGTCACAAAGCTCAAACCATCTCTAACTGGCTTCTTGAACATGACAATGAGTTCACTGTACTCCAATGGTCTCCACAGTCACCAGATCTCAATCCACTAGAGCACCTTCGGGATGTGGTGGAACGGGAGATTCGCTTCATGGATGTGCAGCTGAAATATCTGCTGCAACTGCGTGATACTATCATGTCATCATGGACCAAAGTCTCTGAGGAATTTTTCCAACACCTTGTTGAAAGTATGCCACGAATAATGAAGACCGTTCTGAAAGCAAAAGGGGGTCCACCCCGGCACTAGCCAGGTGTACCTAATAAAGTGGCCAATGAGTGTATATCTTAAAGCCTGGGCAAAATTATGGCATGGCTGCACACCTAGCATTATTTTTTTGGAATTGGGGTGAATTGAGCTTTTAATATTGTTCTTGTATTGTATAATTTTGTGTGTTTGGGTTAACTAGCATTGTGATTGTAGTAGAGAAGTGTGAGTGGTTGTAAATTAAGACTGATGGTGGCCCCCTGTTTAGACCTTCTGGCCATTATGAGAGCAGAAGACCGCATAGGGTTAATTTAAGGCGTAAATTTCTGCAGGGCAACATTAATAACTAATATAGTGTGTGTTACTGACTGATTAGTGTGGTTCAACTGTGGTTTGCAGTAGTCGTGATCTTACACGCTCCTTCTGCACTGTAAAAGTCGTGTCCATTTCTCAGTATGTACTGTGAAACTGTGCAAGATGTCTCTGCACTGGTGCCAAGAATAATTCTTGTTCAGTTTTGATCACTCTCTGGTACTTCAGTGCCACAGTGATTTACTGTTTGCAGAGATTAACTGCCTGAAACATGTGATCAGAGAATCCAATTCAGGACAGTTGGTGAAATCACCTGAGATGTCTTTCTTCTTTTTTGTTGACCACATCCTAATACACATACCTGAGGGCATGCCATCTTGCCTGTGTTCTCAATAAGCACCAGCTGGCAGCTGTATGGTAACTACTAATAATCAATTGCCCAACTATAAATATGCCCTGCGGCCTCCAGATTGCTTCAGGGATTCAAGCAACTGCCAAACAGCCTAAGCAGTCCTGGATAACTAATAATAGTGAACCATTAGTTTTCATCTCAGTAGGCTGATTTACTGACATTCTTGCTTTAAACCTGCATTTTTTATGTTGGTCCCAATACATCTACTGTTTGGATAGCATTTCTCTAAGGTCAAAAATACAGTCTGTGGCTGCTCACACAGCATAACAAACACACCATGTTTATGTGATGATCCTGAGAGGCACTGTTTCTGGGAACCGCAGTTTACTTAAGTAAAGACTGAAACTTTCAGAATCTGAGAAAATGTTGTCCACAAATAAGTTTGGCATCTGTAGTCTAAATTTTTAATGTGCTGCACCAAAGCACTTTGCCATAGGCTTCACTGTGGTTACCTTGATTAAATGATGTGCAACAAACACCAAGCTGCTGGTGCAGCAACCACACAAACATCTTTGCTTCTGCACATCAAACTGTTCCGTTTTAGAGTAATCTCTTGGTTTGAGCCAATTAAGAGTTCATCTTCTTTTCTCATTCACACTGTATGTCTCTGTCTCTCTCTATTGGCTTGTGATATAATGTGCAGAGCTATGATGCAGTTGTTTTTGTGACATGTTTGAGATTGTGTCACGCTTTATAGCAGTATGTAAATTTACTGTAGTGTCAGTGGACGGCTCTTCCTCTGGGTATATTATGTGGGTCATGTTAGTTACAGCGACTGAGAGGTGGAGAAGCTGTGTACCTGAGTATCGGTAAAAGGCAATAAATCTAAACTGAACGTTACGAAGCAAACAGCGGTAAGTCCGAGCTAATGTAGCGTTAGCTGGCTGCTCTTGGCTGCCTCACCATAGAATAGTAAACAAATTGTTCCACATTTTCTTTTTACCATTACGTCATTTCTTGTAGGCTTTGACACTTTGACATAATATCAGTGGTGCACAGGATAGTAATATGGGTCGCGCTAGTTGGTGAATTGATGTGGAAAGCGATCTAACTTTGCACCGGATAACATTAGCAACTGCTCGGCGTCAGCCGGCGAGCTAACGTGACTTTCTCTGTGTTTCTCCAGCTTTACTAATGCTCACTTTGTTCTGACTCAACATCATGAACCTGTTTGGTCTGATGGGCTTCAGCACATAAACCTTTACTGTGTTTTGCTGTGAGCAGGTTGTTTGATGGTGTTAGTGGACTGCATGTCGTTAGCTGCCGCGTTGTCGCTGTAGTACGAGAGAGGCTCGGGAGCGCGCACAGGGCTGAATCCGACCCAGAGACCTCACATTAAAAGCAGAATAGTGGCTGATTCAAGCAAGAGAGAAAACAGGCGTGTGCTTCATTTGTAAGTGAGTTTTGAGCCCATTGACAATTTGATTTATTAAAATCAAAAACTTACAGATAGCCCCTTTAATATTTTTATAACAACTATTACTTCATCAGTAATACCTTTTGTGTTAAGTGTTTCTCTGTCGTTGAGGATCATGTGCATGACCTCTCATCCACACGGGACAGAGCGTTTGGACCAGCATTTCTTTTCTGCAGTGAAATATGTTGTTGATTATTTTAAGTGGGTCTGTTCTGAGTCACCCCCATCATTTGTATTGTAGCCCTGTCATTCACCAGAGGTTTTGTTTTCCTTTTTTTGTGTCTGTTGGCATTCCTCAGCTGCTCCGTCCCCCACCCCACCACTATCAGTGTCTGTCACTATGTCAAGCGTCCCCTCCACACATTCAGAGGGTGAGCCATTCAGAGCTCTCTGATTACACAGCTGGTAGGAAGGGGTTTGGGACATTTGATATGACTGTAGCAGTGAGCTAGTTGGTGGTGGGCTGGGCAAGAGCTGGGTCAGTTGGGCCAAGGTGACTACACACTCCACCGGTGGCCAATCAGGATGACACACGGTAAGGTAGGAAGGAGCATGTGTATGGGGTAAGTTTTCCCATAGCACATTGAAACTGCACATATACTGCTGAATTTATTTAAAAGGTGGTAGGTGTTGCTCTGTATGGATTATTCCATGGTATATGTGGGGATTTGGTAGATGTGCAGTCTGTTTATTGAGCTGTCAACGAACAGATAATTTGCTTTGAAATGCACATCATTTTTAAGCTAGTTAGATTCTGCACTATTCAAATCTCCAGATGCTTAATTTAAACTACAAATGAGATGTGCATGGATGATTCATTAATGGACTGAATAATATGCAGCTCTGGTTTCTTCTGCAACTTAATCAACGATGCCTAAACAGAAGCACCGTTTGTAAAACATAAAATAAAATGTAAAACTTGAAATAAAAGATTTCAGTGTGGTGATGCTTACAAAACCCCACTGTAGGGTGTTCTCGAAGAAGCAGCACAGTGTATACACAATAATGTGTATAATGCCATATTGTGCATAGTAATTGCATACGTGCCCAAGAGATAACGCCAAACTGTTCTGCAGACCCATCTCAACAACGGACTTTTATTTGTGCAGTGCCTTGTGCATAATGTGAACTATGAGCCAGCTGTAAATGTCTCAGAGGGAGCAAATGAGTCAGCTGAATAAAACCGAGACAGATGTAGAGCTTCATATTGTGACAGTGGGAAAACAGCAGCTCCAGAGTAGGTCACTTGGGATTTATTGGCTATATTCCATCAATTTCCAAGACTTCGTTATGTCCACAGTATCTAATATTCACATGCTTGTATGCTTGATTCAGTCTGATATTATTTTTGTTTTATCTCCTCATTGCATGCACTGTTGTAAATACCATAGCAAAACATTGAACCTTAACTAGTTGCTTCGTCACACCTAATTCATGAAATAACCCAGCTTTTAACTACAGTATGTACTTGTCAATTATTGCTTAACCACAAGTGATTGTCATAATTAATTGAATAACATAACAATGTGAATTGTGCAAAGACCTTCACGGGAGTGAATGACGATGGTAAACGACAATTGTCTGGCTTGCCCTCTCCCACACTGCCCAGAATAATTACAGACCTACAATCCTTGGCATGTTTACATGGATAAGAGGCACCTGTTTTCCTCCCAAGTTAAAAACCAAAATAATCAGCTGTGTCTATTTTGGCATCATCTGGAAAAAGTGGTCCCTAGTTGCCAGCTCTAGCGAGTTTAGGTATGCCTGTAGCAAGATATGTTACTGGGAAAATAAAAGAGTTAAAGGCATAGTATTTGACAAATAAAGGTTTTTCTTCAGGGCACCACCAGTCGCAAATTACACATGTTTTTGCAATCCATCAGTCAATCTGATGGTAATAAAATCCCTGAAAAACACTAATGTACTAATCAATATTTTTATATTATCAATACGTGAATTGACTGTGTGTAATGGGTTGATCTTGGGATGATCCCACAGAGAATTATCACATTGACATCTTTATCCAAAGCGACTTACAATTGCTATATATATATGTGTCAGAGGTCGCACGCCTCTAGAGCAACTAGGGGTTAAGTGGCTTGCTCAGGGAAACACTGGTTGATGTGTCACAATGGGAAGTGAACCCGGGTCTCTCACACCAAAGGCATGTGTCTCATCCACTGCCTCATCACCAACCCCCACGTAAAGTTGAAAGCAAATCATTTAACACTGTCGGCCGAGGTGGGAATCAAACGCATGACTGGAATAAGAAGTGCTGCTTCACAGACTGACGCTCATCCAATTGAGCTATTCAGGCAGTCTATTTTAGCTCACTGTTTTGGTTCACTCTCATTAACCTTGTTCCCACTTGTACAAGGTAGCTGCAGAGAAAAAGCTCAGATAAACCCACCGTACGTTACTTGCCCAGCAACGAACAGCAGACAGATAACGTGAGCAACTAGTGTGTGAGGAGTTGATGGGGACCAAAGCAGTCCTAAAAGGAGAGTGAATATTGGACTCAAATTCACCAGGTGGACTGAAACCCAACTCAAATTAAATGCTAACTTTGTTCTGCGACAGCTGGATGGGTGAGAATCGACTAATGCTGCTTTAAAATTATACAATTTGCATTACGACGTAGTTTCTTACACAGCAAAGATTATGACTCTATAGCTCATGGGAAGTTTTCCAAGGCATGGTGATACCAGCCAGATAAAAACATGCCACGTGAATTTATGATGGGGCTCTCCAGACAGCATATAGGGGTAGCAAATATCAGATTGACAACAAAAAGGGCTCCTTTGTTTTAGATGTGTTTTTCTGAAGTTGGTCCATTTGTTAATGAATCCTGATTCTCGTTCTCTTTATTCATTTTTTCCCCCAACACTAATGTTCAGATAGTGAGAAAATATATCTAACAAGGCTTTGAAATTCTGTTCAATCCAGCAACAGACAACAAACTCCACGATGATCCATAGAATTATTAAAGGAATCATTTTCCAAGCAAGAACCAGAATGTTACTGCGGCCGGACAGAAAATTGTCGCCATATAATAGTTTTTACGTCGTTGTATGGTGGAGAGTGGCTAGCTTATGGCATGGGTGCTAGTTGCTGTCAGAGGTTCAGGGGTCCCTGACACTAAACCCTAAGAGAAGAACTATCACAGTTGAGGCACTGGAGCGTGTCATGACATGTGTCATATTCTTAGAAGATCTCCTGTCTCAAGTAATGCTGTTGAGAATGTGGCAAAATCAGTGTTATTCAGATCAGTGCACAGTGTTCACCTTTACTCCACTGAGAAAGCCACCAAAACTAAAGATATAATGTGCAGGGATGACATGTTTGTGACCACGCTTTCAGTCCAGACAGGGGACTCTTGTTGCATGTCAGCGCCCTCTCTTTTACCATGGCAGCTGATGGAAACGCCACAGGGATCGTAAGAGATGAATGTATTCATTAAAAAAAAATACACAAATGCCATCGTGTGGGTGGGAAGCAGCAATGAAATGCCATGGTACATCAGAGATAGGTGCTTGATTAATGATATGATCTAGTCAAATACTTGAAATATTATAATTTGTATAAAGGTAAAACGCTGAACACATGTTTAATTTAATGAAAGTTAAAAAAAATTGCTAAAAACATGCATAGAATTTGAAATGGAAGACAATGGGTAGCTGTATATTTCAGTGTTTGCAGTGCATTATGTGTGTTACTATCCAACAGTTGCAAATATATTCCCCAAATCAGACCAGTAATATTGTTTCTCCTGTCCGCTGTTCTGCAGGTTATGCCACCCAAAAGGCTTCCTGGATCCCCAACCGTGAAAGAGAAAGGCTGATCCCCGTCCTTCCCCAGGTTCCTGCTGCTCTGCACCCCATCTTTCCCCCCTTCCCTCTCCTGCTTATTCCCCTCTCCCACCTGCACTAACCCCACCCGAGTCCCACAGCTGGCCCTGCCACCCCAGTTATCCTTCACCTCTAGGACTGTTCGCCCAGTCTCATCTACCCCCCAGAAATCCTTCCCCACAGCAACTCCATACCCAACTCCCTCTTAGTGTTATTCCAGCCACACTAGCCGTCTTTTCTGCAGGTCCCTGTCCTCGTCATAGATCTATTCTTCACCTGCTGGCTGCACGCCAGGCCCCATGGCTACAGGAGGTCATGCCCCAGAGATAGATGTGTTGATCAACCCACCACAAGTAAGAATTATTTTTTTTGTAAATCGGCCTTGTATGAGAAGGATGTAAATTATTAAAACATAACTTTAGTAAAGGTACACCAAATAATATTTAAATAATCCTGTATATTACTTTGGTGTGTTAAAATTCACCTTTCTCAGTTATTTCTTCATCCCATTTAGAGACACCAACATGTGAAGTAGTTTTGTGCAGCCCTGATGTCAAAATTCCTCAAACATTAAATTTTACAAGCAAAGACAAACCACACGCTCCTCTTTTGTTTAATCCAGAGCTGGCCAGTTCTGCTCTGGGAGATTCTGTTGCGTTTTGGCCAACAGCCCTCTCAGGACGTTAATCATCCGGCCCAGTGCTTCGAATGGCGTAACCTTGTGAAAAAGCCAACAGCTTTCAGTTTGATTTTAATTGCCCTAATTAGACCCCGGTGCTCTCCTAAACAACTGAGTGATTAATAATAACGACCCTGATAATAAGTCCCTGAAGCATTTAAGGTAATGTTACAGGTACAGTTGTGCAGGTGCTCTTTGTTTTGTTGTTCATAGAAAGTGTTTTGAGGAATACACTAAATGGGAGGAAATAGTAGTGACAGGCTAATGTGCCATGCCCGTCTCATGGCTGAATGTTTACTGTAGATTTCTAGCCAGTAGGCGATTATCGTAGCTTAGCATAAAGATTAGAAACAGAGGAAACAACTAGTTCTCTCTAAAGTTAAAAAATAACTACCCACTGTCCAACATTTCAAAAGCTTACTAATTAACAATACGAAAAACATATAAACCTCTATTTGTGCTGGGAGTGCTTCAACTATTACTTGGCGGACAATGGCCGGATGCAGGAACTGTCCTTATTCAATTGCGATAAAACAATGTGTATACAGCGGCTCAGTTATTCAGCTTTAGGTGCTGTTACATATATTTTTAGCTGGACTTAGCTGAACCAGGCTAGCTGTTTCCCCTGCTTCAGTCTTTAGGATAATCATATTCTGCTCCATACCTAATGACCACACACACACACACACACACACACACACACACACACACACACACACACACACACACACACACACACACACACACAATAGTGGTATTGATCTTCTCATATCAACCTTTGCTATAAAGTGTCTATTTTCCAAAATGTCAATCTTTTTCTTAAAGCAGAAAATCAATAAGAATGGAAAAAAATATGGGTATGCTGTCTTTGCTATAGTAGCAAACAGGACATACTTTTGAGAGATCAGGACTGGATTCATACAGCAGGTCCATGCAAAACCACTGAATGCAAGAAGAGTAATATGATTTGTCCTTTTCAGCTGGCAGTGCTGGTTTGCATTGTGGGATTTAGAAGTAAGGGAAGTGAAGGAGGGGTAACGTTTCAATTTGAATAGGTGACTTCTGTCTCAAGGATGGAAAATGGATATATGCAAATGTGGAATGCTGAGGAGTGGAGGAGAGAGTTTGACTTTGCAGGAAAAAAACCTATTATGCAAAAAAAGGATCTGAAGAGAGAAATCTGGACAATGGGTTTGTAGCAGATGTTACTATGCCAGCTTGTAAAATGGAGGCATGCTCAGTAAGAGTCTTTATAGCTGTAGTAGTTGGACTTTTTAAGGACATAGATGCTGGCACTGCGGCTGGAAACTTGAGAAGTGAAGTGAAATAAGCTTGTTTGACAGATACGTAGCTATGAGAGAATTTGCTCTGCGTCTGTTACCTCATTTTGTCGCTGCAAAATCTATAATAAACTACAACTAATTTTACATTTTCACAGCAATCAACTGCCAAATAGCTTGTTTATATAATAGCTGACAGGCCAGTGAGAAATGCTAGTGGATGAGGTAGCATTTGTTAGGGCTGGAGATCGTTCAAAGATTTTCGATATCGATACGATACCTCAACTTCGATACCGGTTCCTGAACGATACTTTTTTCGATACCAATTTTACTCTCAAACGGAGAACCATCGTTGTTTGTATAAAGTAACTTAATTATCACATTATTATCATTAATAGTTTATTTTAATAATTGTTCCTTTGAATGCTACTGCTTGTCAAAACCAAGACATATTTTCAATGTAACATAGTCCTATATTGTGTTTTTGTTGTTTTTATTCCTCTCTTTAGTTTGTCATTTCATTGTTTATTAATTATATTTTTTATTGTTTATATGTGAATTTGTGCTCTGGCAACATTGCAACCTAAACATTCATGGCAATAGGCCTGAAAGAAAGAGAGAGAAATCTCTCATCTCATGGAAACAAGTTTCCTCCTCACTTGATGAAGAGGTGGCCAGTTAACAACTATCACAATAGAAAGTAAACTCAGCCGTGCATCTCTTTAATCCACTGTAGCAAAGTCACAGACATCAGTCCAAGGATCGGTACGTGATGTCACTATCACACGGATGTGGAAGCTACTCGGTCAATAAAAGAGCTTTGATTTGATTCAGAAAACAGCAACGCTGCCAGCAAGCTACTGAGAAATGTAGTAAAACTAGTAACGGTGCTACTTGTAGCGACGCTACTGCCCAACACTGCTCGTACGGTGGACATGTTGAAGCAAGCTCAGTGGCAGCAGGGCGATGAGACGATGACTGCAACGACTCTGTCTTGTTGCAGCAAAGGCTGAGCAACTTTCTGCTCTTAAATTTATTCCATGTACAGTCAAGGGCTTCACCAGGTTTGTCGTGTCGCTACTCTTGGCAGAAATTATCTTACATTGTAAATATTGCATCGTGCGCTGTTGCATCAAGCCACACTTTTGATTTTCTCCACGTCTTTTACATCCACAAGCCACGTCTCTGTGCATAACCGGCGTGAACTCGTGTTTACATCACCACAGCCAATTAAAATTACTTTTAAATGTGGGCACATCAAGAATGCTGCATTCTTATTGGCTCACTGGCGTTAACAAGAACCTTTAGGTATTGAACTTTGGTACGGAAAGACAAGACATTTTTTGATACTCAATGGTATTGAGGCAATTCGGTCGGTGCCTAAAAAGTATTGAACTCCATACCCAGCCAAAATATACATATACAACAAAATATTTGTTGGACGTGGCGTTTCCTGATTCCTAAATCTTGTATTTTCTAAGCTAGATCTGGCTGTAATAAAATTATCAGCCCTGTTAAAATGACAGTTAACGTGAGTTACAGTTGCACTTAGCTAAGCTAGCTAGCTAGCTAGCTCCATACACAGCCGTTAGCTCTATCGTTAACTATCGACCAAACTTGAGGCTTCATAACGACAGTCCACAAACCAAAGGGTGATGTCACGATGACTATGTCCATTTCTAATATACAGTCTATGGTTCTCACTCCCCGACTCGTCACATATGGACACATGGTTGAGACGCATCGGCGTCAGTTTGTAATGTACTGGGGATCACTATAGCATCATAGTTCAACGCAGTGGGGGAAGCCCAGTACCGTCAGTTTTTGATGGTAATATGATTTAACAGAAAAGACTGAGTAAGGAGGTGGTTGGATTGGATGGAGGGCCAGAACCCTGACTTTGAACCTGGAGACTGGGGGTTGCGTCCTGTGTGAAATAAATAGTCAACATTAAATATTTTTATTTAAGTTAGGCAAGTGATGTAAGTTAACTTACATGTTAACTGATCTACTGTTACGGTAAGTGGTGGTAAGGCAGGTTGGAGGACCCAAACGCAGGACGCAAGGCAGAGGAGGTACAGTTCAACGGGGGTTCATTGAGGGAAAACAAACAAAAGGCGAGCACACTTACTGACAGAGTCCAAAAAACAAGATAATCCCAACAGAAATCCAAAGGAAACAAGGTGACAAGACGAGCAAGGCAGACAACAGAAGACGGAGCGTATCCACATGACAGACAGGGGGTAACTCGAACAATGACTGGATGAAGACTGGAGAGAAACACCAAACATATATATACACTGTAGAGCTTTCCAGCAGGTATAACTAGTGGTTTACATATATATATCACAAGTGATGGATGTTATTATTATGTTCTGGAGTATCCGAGAAATAAGTGTGTACATTTACCGACTTATTCCAAACGAAGCCATATATGTTATCTTCTTGCTGGGTTAAAGGTTTGTTTATTATTCCTAGTCTCCAGACTAAATTTTCTGTGTATGCTTAATTAGGTACAGTGCGCAGGCGTTTCACCTTTAGGTTTCATTTTCATTTAGTTGATGTTCAGGACTGGTACGCCTTGCCGGTTTACAACCTAACAAAACTAACTGGACTAACTAACAGGCTATCGTAGCGGTAGCATTCAGGCTACCTAGTTTGTGGATGATTATTGTGTATGTGTGCACAATAAAGCCCATAATGAGACTCGAGTTGTATCCGCCGTACTTGTCCTGAAACCCTTCCAGTGGGGAGTTTATTGAGTTATAGAAGGAAGCTCAGTAGAGAACTGGACACACACCAGGGACTAACGAGCAGGGCAGGAGTAACACAGGTGACAGACAGAGAGACAGCAGGGGAAAACAGATAGACGCCAATAAGGCCATAGGGAAACTAATGATAACCAGGAAGAAACAGAGAATAAGTGACTGAACCAGAACATAAGCAGACAGATCACTAATATACCCAAACTACAACTAAGAAGGAAAACAGATTGAACTAAGATTAAACAGAACGCAGGGCAACATGGACAAAATAATATCAAAGTACATGGACCAGGAGTATACACTAAGACACGGATAAAAATGCAGGGCATAACTAGAAAATGAGACTAGACAGATACTAAGAAAACTTAAAGCGAATGAACAAAATAATAAACTACAAAACTCCAAACCATGACAATATCAAATGAACACAGGAAAAAAAACAGCACAAAACCAAATCCTAACACCTACGTAATTATTTTAACCCTAACCATGATCTTTTTCTAATCGTAACCAAGTAGTTTTGTTGCCTTAACCCAACCAAGTACTTTTTGTGCCTAAACCTAACCAAATTGCAACGTTTCAAAATGGCGATGTTTTGAAACACTAGCGTTTTATTTTGAAAGTCTAAC